TGACCAAGAGTCAGCCCTGCCTTTACGGAACACACGCTCTCACTTGAGAGCTGGCTCTCAGACACCTGAAGCAATGGCTAGTCCTGACCACTAACTTTATAACACAGAGACCCAGGAAGTCACCAAAATAGCACCCAACTAAGGAACCTGTCATATTAATAAGATACTGTACTTACTTTCTCCATCAGCAATTGCAAAACAGATCAGCTAAAATTAGAGGGAGGCCTTCAGTGTTCAGAATCTCTCCCAAATGCTTACACAGGACTTTCTGTTTAACAGAGTGCACCACTCCGACAGCCAGACACAGTCCACTCATATTCCCCTGAGCTGAATGCTTTAATTAATAAGCAAGCAGCAAGACTGAGACTTTTATCACATCAGAGCAATACCTGAACAGATACTTTTAAACCACAGGATAAAAGCAAGATAGACACATGTCTGCCTTTCCCTAAAACAAAGGTATATGAAGTCCGTTGACTTAAATTTTTTTTTTTTTTGGTATCACTATTTATTTTATTTATTTATTTTATTTATTTATTTTATTTTATTTTATTTTTTATTATTATTATACTTGAAGTTCTAGGGTACATGTGCATAACGTGCAGCTTTGTTACATATGTATACTTGTGCCATGTTGGTGTGCTGCACCCATCAACTCGTCAGCACCCATCAACTTGTCATTTACATCAGGTATAACTCCCAGTGCAATCCCTCCCCTCTCCTCCCTCCCGATAATAGGCCCCGGTGTGTGATGTTCCCCTTCCTGAGTCCAAGTGATCTCATTGTTCAGTTCCCACCTATGAGTGAGAACATGTGGTGTTTGGTTTTCTGTTCTTGTGATAGTTTGCTGAGAATGATGGTTTCCAGCTGCATCCATGTCCCTACAAAGGACCCAAACTCATCCTTTTTTATGGCTGCATAGTATTCCATGGTGTATATGTGCCACATTTTCTTAATCCAGTCTGTCACCTTAAACAATAAACCTTGGACCAGTAAGTGTTTAACCTAGGCCAAAACCCCAAATCTCCTAAGCTAGGAGGACAGGGGGCATTCTCAAACTATTACTCATATTTCAAAGGTGAATCCGAAAGGTTACATGTGTCTAACTTAGGAAAATAGAGGTTAAGGGAAACAAAGCTCTTACATTCACAGCTAAAATTACATCACCTTGAAGCAGAACACTAGTTATCTCATGTTGATAAAAGGTTGAGACCAGCAATTATGTGTTGAGGATTATTTAGATGAGAAATCAAATAAATTGTCGCTTAAGAAATGCAGCTTGTACAGAATACAGAGTTATTTAAAATATGTTATCTTTGGAAGAAGAAATAAGGCAGAGTGTTCAGCTTTAAAACATTTGAAAGCACTGCCTTAGAATGCATAGAGAAAATATTTTTTGAAGAAAAAAATGCCCTTTTATAGTATTATCTATTGTAAGCACAAGTTAATCTTAAAATTCAATTCAACATATTTAAGTAAAAATGGCGGTACCACAAATAAATATGGCCACCTTTTTATGCATGATGATGTTTATTAAGCATGCATGTATAAAAAGCTAGATTTAATCTTGGTTTATAGCAGATTAATTTAATACCGGGAAGTATATATTCTAGAAATGACCCAACTTGTAAGACACCGGTGAGAAACCCTTGTAACTGGGCTACCTGGTAATTCTGCAAACTTCAAATGCCCCCTTTTGTCATCCACCTGCCACCATCCACACACTGAGGCACTGGGAGCCTGAAATAAGTCTTGGAACAACTGTTAGGGAAGTAGGATAATGCAGTGATCAAAAACACAGACTCCAGAGCCAAACTGCCTGATATAATTCCCAGCTCCGCCACTCACTGGCTTTGTAACTTTGGGCAAGGCTTCTGTACATCCATTTCTGCATCAGTGAACATACAGGCAGAGCCCGGCCCTTTGCAAGCACTATGTGATGCTAGTTATTAAGATCATGAGTGATGGTGGCCCTGGAAAAAGGCATTTCTGCCACATGGCTCTGACTCATCCTTCATGCTCTCTCCCCTCCACCACACATTCCTCTCATCATCTATCCCCTTTTCTGTTTCAGTGAATCTTCTTGCCCTATCTTGGGGCATTTCAGGCTCATCTATAAGTTACAAACACCAGCAGCCTGGGACAGGTCCATCCTTCCAAAGGGCTTCAGGTACCTGAGAAAATGAAAGAGCCTCACGAATTGGTTCCTTTGAAACCAACTGCCAGTGAAAATCCTGATGCCTGAGAAACTAATTCTTTCCACTGTCAAGGAAAGTGGAGATTTTTGCTGTAAATTATTTGTCTATTCAAGGAACAGCTTGAAATGGACATCCCCAGGGCCACAAGGAAAATCATGGTCAATGTGAGCTCTATTTGAGTGTTAAAGGAATATTACCAATGCTGGACCAAAGACCCACTTGTCTCACACCCAGCTGGACGGGCCTTCCCTGCCCCTGCCCAAATGCACACTATATACTTCTCACAATCAGGATTCTTTCTTTAAGACCACTAGATCATGGCACCTAAGGGCTGGAAAGGATTTCACAAGTCATCTAGATCAAGGGTCACAAATCCAAATACCCAGAGTCCCAGTCAGGTCATGAGTCATAAAGGGACCGGAGCCAGCTGAGGACTATGTGACCTGTGTGAAGGGAGGTCTGGCCCTTGGCTCCAGCTGTCATCGCAGACTGTCAGACGTTCTGAGTGGTTAAGAGAAGATGGAAATTTAGATTTTATGTGTGGACCAAGCAAAACACATCCCAGAGATGGCCCAAGTGCTTTCAGACCACACACCTCGATCCAGACAGAGCAGTGCCTCCCGCCTACAAGCCTCAGACCCTGGAGATGTAAAGAGCTACTACACTACAGCTACCGAATCCAATGCGGGAAGAGAGACAAGGGCTCCAAACAGATACTACTTGTAGACTGCATAGACAGTGTGCCTTGCTCATATAAGAACTTCTTTTTTTAACATAAAAGGACACTGTAATATTAACAAAACCAAATTTTATTTCCAAACAGCACTAAATGGATGATTTTTCATTTCACATTTTCTCAAATAAGGAGATCCCAAAAGCACAGAAACGGTCACGTAAGGTGCACAGATTTTATTTACATTAGAAAGGGGACTCCTGGGCTTAAAACATTCACCACCACCACCTAGACCAATTCTACTACTTGAATGGTGAGATCGGAAGGTGGCATGGCTTGCCCATAATCACACAGCTCCTTGCAGAACCAGGAGGGAAAGCCAAGGTCCTGAGTCCTACTCCCAGCTCCTTCACCTCCACCAGAGAGCACGGACCCTGCCCCAGAAGAGCCATACAAGAAGTGACACCGCCTGGATGAGAACTCAGAACAAATATGATCATAACACAATTTTGGACTGAGGTTTATCCACAATCACCTCTTTAAAGTTTCACAGAAGCACAGAAATAGAAGAAGCCTGGATAATCCCAAACTCCAGCCCTACCCTCAAGCCACCTCCTCAACTGTATCTCAGATAGGAGCCTTCCAGCCTCTGGTGGATGAGGACCTTGTTATCTTACAATGCTGGATAACAATGCAACTTGAGAACTTCAATTCTTCCTATTCCCGTACCACTCTGGTCTCTTGGGCTTGCCATTCAGAATGTCTGTTTCCCTCTCCATCCTCTTCACAACTTAATTCTTTCTCCCCGCCCCCAAGGCTGCCTCTGTATGTTCTTTTCATAACCTCCTTTCCCTTGTTTGCTCCATTTCCACAACTAGCTGGCTTCCTTACGGACAAGAGGGTATTTATTCACTGTTGATTCTTGCTGTCAGTCTACAGGTATTAGCTAAGAAGGACTGGCTTAAGATAAACACTTGAGACACAGAACTGAACAAGCCTGCCCAGTAAGTCAAGACAGGGTACTGGGAAGCCAGAGCAGGTGGTGGGGAAGTGGGGCATGAGTTCCACTCAGGGCATCTGTGGCAAAGGGAGAGAACGGTGCCAAACACAGATGTGTAAGCTGTGCACTGCACAACTGTAAGGGCACCACTCAAAAAGACCAAGTTATGAGTAGTACCCTCTGGAGTTGTACAACGAGCAGCATAAGGAGGGGTCAGTGGAAATGCAGGTCTGGCCATTAAAAGATCAAGCCCATATTTCAGTGCTTCTGTTAATTAATAATGACTGGCCCACAGAGTTTCTCCTACTTGAGTGTGCTTAAGAACCACCTGGCAGCTTACCATACCTGAGGAATGCCAAGCCCTCCCCTGAGATTCTGATTCCTCAGTCCTGAGGAGGGACTAAGGAATCTGTGTGTTATTCTTTGTTTGTTTGTTTGTTTGTTTGATATGGAGTCTCACTGTGTTGCCCAGGCTGGAGTGCAGTGGCACAATTTCGACTCACTGCAACCTCCTGGTTCAAGCAATTCTGGAGTAGCTGCGATTACAGGCATGCGCCACCACGCCCAACTAATTTTTGTATTTTTAGTAGAGACAGGGTTTCACCATGTTGGCCAGGCTGGTCTTGAACTCCCGACCTCAGGTGATCTGCCTGCCTCGGCCTCCCAAAGTGCTAGGATTACAGGCGTGAGCCACCATGCCTGACCCTGTGTGTTGTTTTTTTAACAACCAGACTCTTGAGAAACTCTAGCCAACAAAGTTGAGGCTTAGGAGAAGGAAGACACTATAAGTGCCAAGACTGTGGTACCAAGGGGAAAATGTTTATATTTTTATGAGATTTAGTCCTTCGATCTCAGCTCTATTTTATAAAGAATACTGTTTCTAAAGATGGTTAATGATGGCACACATGTATAATCCATGAAGCAACTGTCTCTATAAACCCAACCCTGGCTAGCTATTCCTTGTCACAGTTTTTAAGAGCATACAGACAGGCACCCTAGACACTGAAATGACATTACTATTCTGACAGCTTGCTAAATTTATGGCCACCATGTGCCAAATCAGAGGAAACTCACATTCTAAAGCTCCTCCCTACCTACATGTCAACATGGCAAATGCTCGGACGCTTACCTTGTGCTCCTCCTTCATCACCTGTTCAATGAGTTCAGATTTCACCGGAGGCTTTGAATACTGGCCTGAGAGAAGGCCATGTCCTAACTTAGTCCTGGCCAGGACAGAGAAACAAAAACAAAAAGGTCATTGTTGTTTTTCCATAGCAATATTACATTTATCTATGAATATCAATAAGTACAGCTGCTGTTAAGTGGAGCATTTGATGTGGATTACACACAAATAACTTATTTATTTGATTCTGCTTCACACTGATACCAGTTTTAAATTTTCTTCAGTATTTTGTAGATAACTTTATCTTCTTATAAAAGTAACACATTCTCATTTTGGAACACTTTAAAAAAAATAAAAAAAAACATAAAGAATTGCCTTTAATTTTGCAACCCAGAGATAACCACCATGAACATTTTATTGGATGCTTTTCGTAAAAAAAAAAAAAAAAAAAATCTGCCACTTACATCTGTGTGTTGAAATCTTGTGTTGGATCTAAAGGCGAGTAGTCAAATATTCTGGGAAGGTTTCCTACATACCTAGAAAATGAGCGGCAATAGTTAAAACATAGCAACTGCAAGAAAAACAGAACCAAAACAAGCCATCGAAATTCTTGCTAAGACCTTCTTGCCCCTTTGTCAAACTAAACAATCTACCTGAAGAAAAGCTTTTCCTGAGATTCTACCCCTACCAGCACTCATGACCTTCCTGAAACGTTTATCCTTCTATCAGTGGGTCTCAACCCTCATTGTAAGTTAAATTCACCCAAAGAGTTTCTTTTACATTTACCAAAGCCAGAACCACCCCTAGATGTTCCAATTTCATTGCTCGAGACTGAGGCCTGGGATTTGGAATGTCTTTCAAAAGTTCCCCGAGTGATTCTAACATGCATCCAGAGTTAAGAACCACCGGCTAAGCCATCACAATAATCACCACCTCGATGACAATGGTACAGAGGCCAGGCACCGTGGCTCACACCTGTAATCCCAGCACTTTGGGAGGCTGAGGCGGGTGGTTCACCTGAGGTCAGGAGCTCGAGACCAGCCTAGCTAACATGGCAAAACCCCGTGTCTACTAAAAATACAAAAATTAGCTGGGCGCAGTGGCACGTGCCTGGAATCCCAGCTACTCAGGAGGCTGAGGCAGGGGAATCGCTTGAACCCTGGAGGTGGAGGTTGCAGTGAGCCAAGATCATGCCACCAGACTCCAGCCTGGGTGACAAAGCAAAACTCTGTCTCAAAAAAACAAAAAAGACAACAGTACAGTTAGGGACAAGACTCGACTTAAACCAAAACGTCGTCAGGCTCCTCTGAATCCTCTGCTTGACTGGGCCTGTCCCTGGGCTTCCCTCTCTGTTCTTGTAGATCCAGTTTGAGTAAGCATCCTGCTAATTCAGTTTAGTGAAAATCGTCCATCCTTGTATCTGACCAGCCTAGCCTGCCTTCAGCAGTAATCCCATTAAGTCTGGGTAGCCAGAAACCCCTTATCCTTGATGTTTCTTCTTTGTGATTTTCCATCCCCTGGCCCCACCCAACTCCTTGGTTATAAATCCCTACTTGACGTTGTTGGAATCAGAGTTGAGTCCAATGTCTCCCCCATTGCCAGGCCCTGTTGCAGTGCTCCTACACCTATGGCCATGCGCCCCCTTGAATAAAGTCTGCCTTATCATCTTTAACAAGTGTTTGGGTAATTTTTTTCTTTAACATTAAAAATTGTTCCAATGATCTCAAAATTGCAATAGCAGTGACAGCCACCATTTTCTGGAGGGCTTCCTATATTAGCCTATTGAGTCTTCATTGCAACTGTATGAGGAAGGGATTGTTGTTATCATTATCCCCATTTGAGAGGTGAGAAATTGGGATTCAAATTCATTAGGTAGCTTCCAAAGCCTCCAAGCCACCTGTAATCCCAGTACATTTGGAAGCCAAGGAGGGATGATTGCTTGAACCCAACAGTTGAGACCAGCCTGGACAACATAATGAGACCCCAACTGTACAAAAAAAAAATTTTTAATTAGCTGGGTGCAGTGGTACATACCTATAATTGCAGCTACTCGAGAGGCTGAGGTGGGAGGATTGCCTGAGCCCAGGAGGTCAATGCTGCAGTGAGCTGTGATTGTACCACTGCACTCCAGCCTGGGTGACAGAGCAAGACCCTATCTCAAAAAAAAAGTCTACCAGGGAGGGAGTAATGAGGCCCAGAATGGACCCAAGCAGCCTGGCACCAGGCCGAGGTCGGAACCACTCTGCTGGCTGTGTCTGCCCATCCACTGCCCCTGGAGCGACTGCAAGCTTATTCTGACAGAACGGTGCCAACTTTAACACTGATCTCCGATCATAATGCACAATCACTCCTTTCACTTCTTAAATTCACTTCCTATTTCACACCCTCTATTTTGTGTTGTCCTTTCCCCGTTGTCTTTAACTCTCTAGCCTGAAAACTCTAGGAAGAAGAATCCAAAAGCAGATCCCTTTCTCCAGTCCTTCATGTGCCCCACTCTGCCCACTTCTCTGACCTCATCTGCCACTGTGTTCCCCCAGCCCACAACATCCCCACCATCTGCCCCTCTTGCCGTCCGAGGGCATGACAGACTTGCTCATGTCTCAAGGTCATGCCTTCTGCTGTCTTTTTCCTGGGATGCTGTTTCACAGATCCTTGCTTGGCAGCTCTTTCTCAAGCCTGTTGACAAGTCACCTCTCCAGACCCTCAGATAAAACAAGAGGGGTGCCCCCACCCTTTCTCACTCCCTACCATCTGCTTTTGACTGACTTCCTTCTTAGCATGCATCACTATTTGCAATTTTACAATTTACTTGTGATATGGTTTGGCTGTGTCCCCACCCAAATCTCATCTTGAATTGCAGCTCCCATAATTCCCATGTGTGGTGGTAGGGACCCTGTGGGAGGTAACTGAATCATGGGGGAGGTCTTTTCATGCTGCTCTCATGAGAATGAATAAGTCTCACGAGATCTGATGGTTTTATAAATGGGAGTTCCCCTGCACAAGTGCACACGCTCTTGCCCGCCACCAGGCAAGACGTGACTTTGCTCCTAATTTGCCCTCTGCCATGATTGTGAGGCCTCCCCAGCCATGGGTAACTGTGGGTCAATTAAACCACTTTCCTTTATAAATTACCAAATCTTAAGTATGTCTTTATTAGCAGCATGAGAACAGACTAATACATCTTGTTTAGTATCTGTCTTTCCAGAGATTATATACTAGAATGTCATCTCATTAAGGTAGCAACTTTATCTAAATCACTGCATCTCCAGCACAAGAACAGCATCTGACATGTAAAAGACACTCAATAAATATTTGTTCAATGAATACATTTATGTCACACAATCACACAATTAACTTTCATAACTGAGTACAATAACCAAACAGAAAAGGCATTATGGCAATGAAGCCCTAGCAGAGAAGCATGATACACTATTAGTTGGCAATGACCTCTAATTGGATTCCCTAACTACTAGAAACTTCTAGGCACCTGCTGTCCACAAATTGTTGTAGCTTAGATTATGTACCTACATCAAAATTAACAGAGCGTGCTTCTTTGGGCCAGTCCCATTCAAAGGACAAACAAGACACAAACCGAACTTCAGAGCTAAACTATTTAGATGCAGGGGCTACACTGAAGAATTCCTAACAATACATAACATGATGAACTCAGAAGCTCTTTTATGATCCAGTTTAAATCACATCTCAAAACCTGACAAGACAAAAAAACCTCACTGGAACGATGAACACTAGTGAATAGGCTTACACTTTAAGGCAAAATAGACAGAAGAGTAAAGAGAATAATTTTTTTTTTTTCCTTCAAAACAGCGTCTCACTCGCTCGCCCAGGCTGGAGTGCAGTGGCACGATCTGGGCTCACTGCAACCTCTGCCTCCCAGGTTCAATCAATTCTCCTGCCTCAACCTCCCAAGTAGCTGGTATTATAGGCATGCACCACCATGCCTGGCTAATTTTTTAGTAGAGCGAGGTTTTGCCATGTTGGCCAGGCTGGTCTCGAACTCCTGACCTCAAGTGATCTGCCCACCTCAGACTCCCAAAGTGCTGGGATTACAAGCATGAGCCACCATGCCCAGCCAAGAATAAATCTTTGATGTCAGAAAAGTTCACTTTGCTGGCACCTGAGGTCAGGGAGAAAAAGAGAAGTCCATTTTGCTATCAATGTATATATCCCTTTTCTAACTGATGAAGGAAATTTTCCATTATAACAAAATTAAATTAAAATGCAGAAGTGACGCTAGATAATTTTCATAGATGTTATACCTCCTGTTTGTAATCTAGCAATTCTTAAAAAGATGTAGTTTCGCTATCTAGCAATCTATCTTGGTTGTCATTCCATTTGTATACCAGTTTATTTAGATTCAATCCTCAATAAAAATTATTTTGAAATGTAAACTAGGTGCAAGTGGCACACAGGGTACCAAGGAATCAGGCCAAGTTCCCAAATTACACTATGGCTGTTCATAAGCCAGTTAATCTTTCTGAGTCATTTTTCTTTTTTTTTTCTTTCTTTAATTTTCTTCTTATTATTTCCTTTTTTTTTTTTTTTTTTTCTTGAGACAGAGTCTCACTCCGTTGCCCAGGCTGGAGTGCAGTAGAGCAATCTCGGCCTCACTGCAACTTCGCTCCTGGGCTCAAGCAATTCTCTTGCTCAGCCATCCTCGAGTAGCTGGGATTATAGGCATGCACCACATGCCCGGGCTATAATTTTTGTATTTTTGGTGAGACCAGTGGTTCACCATGTTGGCCAGGCTGGTTCTCAAACTCCTGACCTCAGTGTGATCTGTCTACTCGGCCTCCCAAAATGCTTATTGGATACAGAAGGTGAGCACTGTGCCCGGCCTTCTTATTTTGTTTTTTTGTTTTGTTTTGTTTTTGATACGTGGGTCTGCTTCTGTCGCCCAGGCTGGAGTGCCATGTCGCGCAATCTCCGCGTCAGCTGCCAAACTTCGGTTCCCGGCAGCGCGCCCTCCCAGGTGTTAGACTCGCCATATTCTCCTGCCTCAGCCCTCCCTGTCGATTAGGCTCGTGGACTACAGGCGCACCACCCCAACGCCAAGCTAATTTTTTTTGTATTTTCAGTAGAGACGTGGTTCACCGTGTTCACCAGGATGGTTCTCGGATTCTCCTGGACCTCATGATCCACCCGCCTCGGCCTCCCAAAGTGCTGGGATTACAGGCGTGAGCCACTGCCGGCCCGGGCCCTTGTTATTTTTTCTAAAGACGGTGATCTCACTCTGTTGCCCAGGCTAGAGTATAGTGACACAGTCACAGCTCACTGCAACCTCAGACTCCTGGGCTCAAGCAATCTTCCCACTTCAGCCTCCTGAGTAGCTGGGACTATAGGTGTGCACCACCATGTCTGGCTTTTTTTTTTTTTTTCATTTTTGTAGAGATGGGATCTGACTTTGCTGCTTAGGCTGGTCTCAAACTCCTGGCTTCAAGTAATCCTCCTGCCTCAGCCTCCCAAAGTCCTGGGTTTACAGGTGTGAGCCACCGTGCCAGGCCCTGAGTCACTTTTTCTACTTTCAAAAGGAAGACACTGCTCCTGAATCTAACTCCACTGAGTTAGACCTGTTGAGGAAAAAGAAATGAGAAGAACAAGTATTTCAATCCAGTGATATTTGGTCAAAGGATGAAAAGACTGAAGACATATATGAATAGTTCATTGCTCATGTTCTAATATATCCAGTAAATGTTTAGAAAATAAAATGAGAATGTAAAATACTAGATAACATAAAATTCTAAGACTCCTGAAACAAGACTAGGGAGAGATTCAAATACTAAATTCTCAAAAACACAGAGCCTCTGTCTTCACTCCTCCTACACGTGCACCACGATGTGTGTCCCTTCTCCACAGGCTCCTCTCTGACCACCTCCTTCCTTTCTCCTTCATGGAATGTACCACGTTTATAAGCACGCAGTTGTTCCTATGATTATTTTCTTAATGCCTACATCTCCTGCTTACTTCACGCCTGGGAGTGAGGACCATGTCCTTCTGCTCACCACTGACCCCCACACACTCAGCACACTGCTTAGCAGAAAAGAACTCACTCTCTATTGGCTGGATGAAAAAATGAAAAATAGACATGGAAAATGGACCACAAATTTTCAAAGCCAGAAAACAGCAAGAAGAGGTACGTCTCCAAACACCAAGAGAGGAAAGAGAAGCATATGTGACAAACTTTTGATAAACCTCCATTAAAGCCATTAGGATTTCAACTCCATGTGGGTAAAACATGACCTGGACTATTCCTGATATGTTGTCTGCCTGTCTCAGCACACACATGTCCTCTTCCACACTTAAAGTAAGGTGGAAACCTACCTCTGGAACACACTAGGATGATTCGCTACACTTAGGCAGTGGCTGCACGAGAGTGCACCAGCCACAGCTCCTGGGCTCTATAGCTCCCTGTCCTTAGTACACCCAAGGAAGAAAACAGCCATGGACATAGCTGCTGTGCCCCTCGGTGTGGGAGGAGGAAGGCAGTCTTGTACAAGCACAGTCAGGGAGTACCTAAATCAGTGCCTCTCAAATTATCTGTGGTAAAGGGTCAGTTTTTTTGTTTATTTCAACTCAGACAGATGATACCTTTTAAAAATACAAGTAGGATGGTTAATGAGTACAAAAGTATAATTAGAATGAACAAGATCTAGTATTTGATAGCACAGCAGGGTGACTATAGTCAACAATAATCTGTCGTGTATTTTAAAATAACTAAAAGAATGAAATTGGAATGTTCCTAATACAAAGAAATGACAAATGCTTGAGGTGACAAATATCCCAATTACCCCAATGTCATTATTACACACTGCATGCCTGTATCAGAATATCACATATACCCCATAAATATATACACCTGTTATGTACCCATAATAATTAAAAATAAAAAAAGTTTAAAAATACAGAAATTATTAGAAAAATGAAATGCCGCTGTAAGACACAACAGCAACGTGAAATTGTTACAATTTCCCAGCGCTCACTCTCGATTTCCAAACTTATCTCATTGCAGGCCCACACCCAGCAGTACAAGGAGCAGCACCAGCCTATGAACCACACTTTGAGTAGCAAAAAATGAAAGCCCTAAATCCTTGAGGAAATTCCAGTCCACCACAAGAGAGACAGTAACCAGACCAATCACTGGATCTCTCCTAGTGCATCTGTAGGAGGGAATTGGCAGATGTGCTGTGAAGGTTAATGATTAATATATTCTTGGTATATAGGGTGATGGTCAAAAAGCAGAAACCATTATTAATAACAAACCCCTGTATGGTGCTTTGCAGTTTATGAAGCTCTTCTTTTTTTTTTGAGACAGAGTCTCGCGCTGTTACCCAGGCTGGAGTGCAGTGGCACGATCTCAGCTTACTGCAACCTCTGCCTCCCGGGTTCAAGTGATCCTGCCTCAGCCTCCTGAGTAGCTGGAATTACAGGTTCATGCCACCACCCCTGGCTGATTTTTGTATTTTTAGTAGAGACAGGTTTTGCCATGTTGGTCAGGCTGGTCTCGAACTCCTGGACTCATGATCTGCACGTCTCAGTCTCCCAAAGTGCTGGGATTACAGGCGTTAGCCACTGCGCCCAGCCACGAAGCTCTTCTTATCTCACCTGATCCCCATAATACTTGACAAATGTTCTCACCCAGTCTCTGTAGAAGGCAGGCCAGAGAAAAGGTGGCAAAATGTCCTGAAGCAATAAAGATGGGCTTCGCCGCACACACTGAGTGGACTGGACCTAGATGGGGCAGGGCAGTGCTGCATGCCCTGGTCTGCATGGAAGGCACTTACGCTCTCTGGAATTCTGGGATGCTGAAGATGGCCTGCATGACAGAGCTGAGATAGCAGCTGTTGCCCAAGTTCTTCAGACCCGTGTAGCCAGGACCATACATTGGCTTCAGCTTCGTGCCCGACTCCTGGATCACTTCCCACTCACTGACCCTCGGCTTGATGTCATTGTCCTGGAGCCCATTCTCTGTCTGAGACAAAGTCATTGAAGAAAAACAACTTTAAATGTGATTCCCATTCAAAGGTCATGTCCCATTAATTATTTCTAATAGCATAGGATGTTTCTGCCATTTTTCCCCCAGTTACACAGAGAAATAAACAAGACTGAGAGATGGTGATGGTGGTACAACAATGTGAATGTACATAATGCCAGAGAACTGCACACTTAAAAATAGTTAAAATGGTAGTTTTTATATTATATATATTTTACCACAATTTTTAAAATACACATGAAAAAGATTTTAAAGAGAGGCCAGGCGCAGTGGTTCACAGCTGTAATCCCAGCACTTTGGGAGGTCGAGGTGGGCGGATCACTCGAAGTCAGGAGTTCGAGACCCACCTGACTAACATAGCGAAACCCTGTCTCTACTAAAAATACAAAAATTAGCCAGATGTGATGGTGCATGCCTGTAGTCCCAGCTACTCGGGAGGCTGAGGCAGAAGAACTGCTTGAACCCGGGCGGCGGAGGTTTCAATGAGCTGAGATCACGCCACTGTACTCCAGCCTGGGCAACAAGAGCGAAACTCCATCTCAAAAAAAAAAAAAAAAGATTTTAAAGAGAGAAAGACTGAAAGGGAAAGAGATAGGAGGAGGATGAAGAACAAATAGGAATCAAAAAAGAAGCAAGTAGACTAAATTCAAGAGAATATTCAATGCAACACAGCAAACAAAAAGGTCAGGCAGCTGGAGAGGATATGGACTAAAACCATGAGACTTGAGAGTGCCGTGAAAGAAGACGGAGGTGCAAAGAAGAACACAGAAAACTAAACAAAAAAGTAGAAATGAGTGACAAAGAGGAAGCAGAATGGGAACATGAAGAGAGGGAGGCAGCCTGGAAGGAAAGGGCTAAAACAAAATGCACATTTAAATAGTTCCTTAAAGGGAAAAATATTATATAGTCATGACATCAACTTGAAAACACAATATTAAATGAAGCAGAGCTTCTCTATCAATGGTAATGTGTTGATTTATTCGTTCTGTCCCCTAGGAGCTTTGCTTCCCTTCCTGAAATTAATTAAAGTGATGTTGGTCACAGATAATTTTAAAGGTCATCTCCCTACACCATCTGCGCTTCGTGAACAAAGAATGATTCACACAACTGCCCATCAAAGGAGACTAATTTTGCAAGTAAACTCCAACTAAACCAAAAGAGTATTGGATGAGGTGCCATTTTTATTACAGCATAAAAAAATCTAAGCTGGCAATCAAAAGAAAACATCTATTAATTAAGTGCAAGAAGTAAATGCAACAATTAAAAGCTAAAACCTATAAAATGAAGATCCACGTTAGAGGAATTATATATTAAATAAATCAAGCAGTTCCCTCGCCCTCTCCCCACCCCTACCCCATGTAAGGTGGAAACAGAAACAAAAGGAGACCTCACCCCATGCATATGAAGCATATCAATTCCAAAATGCGCTAAGTGCTTGGCCAAATGAGGATCCAAAACAGGTTCTTCTTCTTGAAAAGAATAAACATCTAGCGGATGAAGAGAAAATAAGCACTGCAATCAGTAATCAAGTCATTGAATATCCAACACATATTTTTTGAACTCCTACTGTACACCAGGCTTGGGCTATCACTGAACAAAACGAAAACTTTCTAACATTCAACAAGGGCAAAGATAAATGATAAATACAGGCATTTTTTTGTAAATATACACACATATCATTCTTTTGACATTTTGGAAAGTTGTTTTTTTTTTTTTTTTAAGTTTTCTAAAACAAGAAAAGAAAAAACAGTATCTAATAAGCATACAAATATAAATGCCTGACACTTGATTTTTCTAACTAAAACCACAGTGGCATAACTCTGAACTCAGGAAGAGGCATGGGCACAGGAAGAGGGGGTGACGGCCATCCGCCATGGCAGGGGGAATCTCCGGGGGAACAGAGAGAACACACAGGCCCTCAGGGCAGCTTCTTCCATCTGAGACAACGAATTTCTGCTCATGAAACCCTCTATATTCTCAAACCTACCACCTCACCACCTCCACCTCCCACCTGCCCCCACATCCCTTCTTTCCCATCTTCAAGTCCACATCTCACAGAACCAGCGAGAGATCTGTGAAGACTGTGTGGCGCTTCCCTAACGGGTCCACCTCATAGCACACATCGAAAATGACCATATGTTTGGTATTCCAGGGATACTCAAGACTCCAGCCATCCCTGCCCTGCCTCACTGCCCCAGGGCCTCTGGGATCCACATCCCGGCCATTTGAGAGATGCTAGTGTTGGTAAGCTCTGTGCTGAGGTGGGCTGCCTCTTTCCTCGGGACAATAATATCCCACCTGACAACATGAGGCTTTTGACTGAACCTGGCTTCTCAAAGTGGGGTGTATGGACTCAAAGCAGCAGCTTCACCTGGGAACTCATTAGAAATGCAGAATCTTCTTTGGAAGGCTGAGGCAGGCGGATCACGAGATCAGGAGATCCAGGTGATCCTGGCTAACACAGTGAAACCCTGTCTCTACTAAAAATACAACAAATTAGCTAGGCGTGGTGGCGGGCACCTGTAGTCCCAGCTACTCAGGAGGCTGAGGCAAGAGAATGACGTGAACCCAGGAGGCGGAGCTTGCAGTGAGCCGAGTTCGTGCCACTGTGCTCCAGCCTGGGGGACAGAATGAGACTCCATCTCAAAAAAAAAAAAAAAGAAAAGAAAAGAAATGCAGAATCTTGAGCCCCGCCTCAGGCCAACTGAATGAGAATCTGCATTTTTAACGAGATCCTCAGGTGCACAGTGAAGTTGGAGGACTGTTTGGTTTTCCAAAGCTATCCAATCCGCTGCCCTATCCATCCTCACACACAGTGCAGTGAGGAGGACAGAACAGACGTTTTCAAGCCCATCTTGCAGATAAGGAAAAGAAGCTCATAAAGGTTAAATGATTTTTGCCTTAAATCCCACAGGTGGCCCAGAACCCAAGTAGTCTAACTCCTGGCCCAATCTTCCCTCTACAACAGAATATTTATGAAGGTATATCAGGACACCAGCCAGGTGCAGTGGCTCACATCTGTAACCCAGCACTCTGGGAGACCAAGGCAGGAGGATCACTTGAGGCCAGGAGTTTGAGGCTACAGTAAGCTATGATAATGCCACTGTACTCTAGCCTGGGTGACAGAGCAGGACCCTGTCTCTAAAAAACAGGAAAAAAAAAAAGAATGTTTCTAAAGAAGGAAAAAAAGAAAAAATATATATATCAGAACAGGATACCAATAGACTCGGTGAAGAACCAACCTAGGCCCTTAAAAGGAATGAAGACTCAAAACCCACCATTTCTTCACTCTTATATTTGAAAAACAAAATCTATAACAAGGACAATGGATATGAAGATATCACTCTTTGGGACAGTATATGTCAGAATGTCCAAGTAGTTCCTTACTCCTTGGAACATCACCGGGGGAAAAAAAAAAAGTAATGCCTAGAAGCTATGTGACCTTCTATCCCATACTCAGATGTACAGAGACTCCCTGCTCCCGAAAGAAATTCAGTCTTTCTATTATTACTAAGTTAAACATTGTATAGCTGTCTTTTCTATTCCTCTTCCCCCAGAGGCCCATTATAACTGTGGATAGCAACCCTCATTTATATTTTTTAAATATAATTCAGTGTTCTCAAAAGCAAAACAAAAGACAAAACCTCAGCCCAATTAAGAAGAAAAATTTCTAAAAGTTTAAATATCAATACCATAAACAAAAACCTTTGAACTAATAACTTGAAACAAATACATCAACAGTATTTTTAATCTATGACAAGGGACCAAAAAATTCCACTCAAATACTAGCTGGAAGGTGAAAATGGCACTCCCTTGGCACTTTAGTTGTTATTAATTAGGGAGATAGTTTGAAGACTTAAGACTTTAAGCCTCTAATGATCAGGGCTGTATTAGAAAATAATAAAACTGCCAGAATTAAACCACTGGCATTGGCCTAGGATTTTGAAATAAGTGAAAACCACACAGCCCTCCACAGTTCATAACCCATTAGGCTCTTGCCACATTGAGAAAATCATATTTCATACCTCCAGCCATTAACTGCTCCAAAGATGTGACATGATTTCGTCAAATGCTATAGTTATTTCTCATCCCCAAGACAAAAACGGTTTAGTGAGTAACATACAAGAAACCTGAAAATGAACTGTGATCTTCAAACCTGGCAATCATGAAGAATTTGTAAATATGTAGTCAGAGAAAAAAAGTTTTCAGTGGCCTCAGTGGCTGAAAATGCTGTCTTGTATGTTTTTCCCTGGGGAACTCATTTTATTCCCAACTTCAGCTTAGCAAAGTCATGTCTTAGTACAGAAACTACGGCAGTAAATAGGCAACTCCCGACAAGCATCATCCATCACGCTCCCCAGCCTGGCCTAACACTTGAAGCCAAGAACCACGGTTAGGGAGTTCACAGAGGGATCCTCCCAGGAATAGCCCAAGAAGCATTTCATGAGTAACTACATTTATTTTAGAAGCAAACCAGTCATCCTTTCATTTCAAGTTAAATGACAAACTAAACCACATAGAACATGAGGCAGCAATCCGCGGAAGAAAAAAGATTTAAAAAAATTTTTAGAACAAGAATATCCCATTTGTGACAAGCATGCTAGAAAGCAGTATGTGCCATAAGCTCAAAGATTAATTAAGGAAAAGCTCAGAGAGCACAGACAGAGAGAGAGACGAACCAGAAGCAAGATTGAGAATCTGTAAGAAACCAGATCAAAATGTTCTAAGTAATTTCCAGAGATTAAAATGATGCTATTGGATGGTATGCTATTAGGGTTATGCTGTTAGGACTAGCATGCCTGGCGTGGGTCATCCTTGTTCAACCACCAAGATTAACTCACTCATTCATGGTATTCAGCAAATATTAACTAAATACCAAATACATATATACCCTGAGGATATAATGTTAAATAAGACACGCAGAGTCCCTGCCCTCATAAGTTTAAAGTTCAACATTTCAAATAGTCTTAGAAGAAATGCTGGTTTGGTGTGAAGGGTCTCATCGTTTAGTCATGTGATTTTTATGCCCTTATCCTAGGCCCCAGAAAATGGCAGAAGTCCGAATTCTCCCTCCAGATTACCCTACAGGAAAGTAGAAGGGAGAGAGAGGTAAGGATGTACCTCAAAAAGTCCTTGTGTTAAAACTACGGAAGGCTGGGCGCGGTGGCTCACGCTTGTAATCCCAGCACTTTAGGAGACCAAGGCAGGTGGATCACCTGAGGTCGGGAGTTCGAGACCAGCCTGACCCACATGCAGAAACCCCGTCTCTACTAAAAATACAAAATTAGCCTGGCGTGGTGGCACATGCCTGTAATCCCAGCTACTCAGGAGGCTGAGGCAGGAGAATCACTTGAACCTGGGAGGCGGAGGTTGTTGTGAGCCGAGATTTCGCCGTTGCACTCCAGCCTGGGCAACAAAAGCGAAACTCTATCTCAAAAACAAAACAAAACAAAAACTAGGAAAGCCAGCTTTGGTGCCCTTCTCTCACAAGTGGAGAGAAAAAGCAAAGCTCCTGGTCAAACACCAAGTAATAAATCAGAGAGAAGAAAACGAAGAGAGGTTCTCCTCAGTCAGCACAGATCTGTCTACCCAAACTGCATCTCTCCACCAGGAGTTCACATTTGTGTGCCTCTAAGCCATCTGCAACAGACAGGAAAAGAAGAAAAACAAGACAACTCCAGCAGCTACACTAGAAAAATAAACACAAGGCTGGGCGCAGTGGCTCACGCATGTAATCCCAGCACTTTGGGAGGCAGAGGCGGGAGGATCACGAGGTCTGGAGTTCGAGACCAGCCTGGCCAACATAGTGAAATCCCGTCTCTACTAAAAATACAAAAATTAGCCGGGCATAGTGGTGTACACCTGTAATCCCAGTTACTAGGGAGGCTGAGGCAGGAGAACTGCTTGAACCCAGGAGGCAGAGGTTGCAGTGAGCCAAGATCAAACCACTGCACTCCAGCCTGGGCTATAGAGCGAGACTCCATCTCAAAGAAAGAAAAAGAAAGAAAAAAATAAACACAAAATAAATTAGGCCAGCATGTAGGATATCTTTAAAGAGAGAATAGGTTATAATCCTAGGACTTTTAGAGGCCGAGGCAGGAGGATAGCTTGAGCCTGGGAGCTCGAGACGAGCCTGGGAGCTCGAGACCAGCCTGGGCAACACAGTGAGATTCTGTCTCAATTAAAAAAAAGAGAGAGAGAGAGAGAGAGAGAGAACAGGGCTAGGCACAGTGGCTCACATCTATAATCCCAGCACTTTGGGAGGCTAAGGCAGGAGGATCACTTGAGCCCAGGAGTTCAAGGCCAGCCTGGGCAACATAGTAAGACTCCATTTCTACAAAAAAAAAGAAAAAAAAAATTAGCCCAGTATGGAGTGTGGTGGCAAGCACCTGTGCTCCCAGCACTTGGGAGGCTGAGCTGGGAGGCTCACTTGAGCCCAGGAAGTTGAGGCTGCAGTGAGCCATGATTGCACCACTGCTCTCCAGCC